GTACAGTAATGGGAAATCCAAACTCTTGACCGTTTTGCATTAGCCTTTAGCTTCACCAGCCGATCACATGGTCACCTGGTTTCTGTGCACTCCAGTTCTGTAGAACCTCCTTGGTTCAGTTCTAGGTGAGGTTGCCAGATAGGAAATGACAAAATGTCATACAGTTACTTAAAATGATTGTATTTTGATCCACACTGACGTGCTGAGTGAGTGGATGCAGACTGTTCAGTGTACCACCATCAGTGTGTGAATCACTGACTGTGAGTCTTTSGACTTGATAAAGTTTAATACAAGTTCAGACCGTTTACCATAAAGTTTAAAACAGTGATGCAGATTGACCTGATTGAGTAAAACCTCTGTTTGTCTGACTCAGTTTCTCCTCTGAATGTCCACAGTGCTCTCCAGCCTCAGTGGTGCGACGTGTGTCGTAACGAGTACAGGGGCAGCCACTCAGCGCATCTCTCCTCCACTCTGCATCAGTTCAGTTTGCGGCGCCCTCCACCCACCCCTTACTACTGCCTCCCCCCCTCCAGCAACAGCTACAAGATGATGGTTCGTTGCGGCTGGAAACCAGGCGAAGGACTGGGGCCAGAGGGAGAGGGCTCYAAACAACCAGTGGCTACAGTGTTAAAGAGAGACTACAAAGGTCTGGGATTCGGACAGACGAAACGAGCTAAAGTCACTCACTTCAATGCTGGGGATCGTGACGCTGTAAAACTACATCAGGCGGAGAAAGACAGGAGGGAGCAGAAAGGACAGAGAAAGGAAAAAGCAAAGCGACAAGAACAAAAWGATAAGAACTGGGAAAGAGATTTTCGTGCTTCATTTTACTTGTAACGACTGCTCACAGCCTTAATGTCTGAAAACATCTGTGAAACATTCAAAAGACTGAGCGTAAAGAAAGTTGTTACGGTCATTGTTGTTCTTTCTTGACCTGAAGTGACACTCGACACACATCACTGGTTTCTGAATCCACTCTACCAAAGTCTACAGGTGGTGCAATAATGTGTCAAATTTTCTTTTATCTTTATGGGGATCATGCCTACCCACAGGCTTTTACTGCTGACTGAACGTTTCTGAATAAAACATATTAGATTGTTGTATTTAGTTAAAAAAGCACTAAATGTTTACACAGATGCTAAATGTAAAAAATATTTTGGTCTTAAGCAACAAAGATATGTTTTAATAAAAACATGGATTTATTCCAAGAAAAAAATTGCAAAGTTCTAAAATTATTTCTGGAAATTTTCTTGATCAGCTTAAGTTTTGTCAAATATTTTATTATTATTATTATTATTATATTATTATTAAGGAACTACAGGAACAATCAACACCTTTCTTACAACTCAAGGTACCTTCTCACCCAGATTGCCACACCTGCACGTGATCCTCTTGGCACGATTGTGCTAAAGCGTCCTTATCAGCACGTTTTTTAGACCCTTTAGCACAGTCAGATTTGTAAATCATTAACATTTAATGCTTGTTTTTGATCAGCCAGACTCACCTCTAATTACAGATTTAGATAAAGTAGATATATTTCTATTCGTTTCACCAACCACTGCATGAATTTTATTAAAAACCTTCMGAAAGTAATCATTGTACAACAGCTAATAAACAAGTAGACTCAACGCAGTTAGAGATGTCCACCACAGCTTAATTAACATGAGCCAACACAAAAAAAACGCTCCAACAAAATCAATGATGGATATATTCAGCTAAATCAGAATGAAATTTATTGGCCAAGTATGTTGACACACAAGGAATTTGTTTCAGGCAGATGGCGTCTCTCCAATACACATACATACAATATAAACAGTGATGGAAGCACAATAGCATAAGACATAAACATTATAGTCTGTGGATTATATACATTAGGCACTAGTTAATTTTGCATGGTGAGTYGATTGTCATCCTCGTGTTCATGAGACATGAATTACACATTCAGGAAATTTAACCAACACAACTGTGTCTCCATCCCTTATCAGAAACAAGTTTTTAGTTTAAAACTTTGCCATGAAAGAGACAGGTGATACGCATTCCTTCAAGGAACCTTGGATTCACAGCCCAGGGCTGCCTTGACTATGGAAGCGCAGAACATGTCCCATCCAGACCAGTGGTGGTACCAATACCAGCATGCTGTACCAGTACCAGTATCAAAACTCCATTGAATGTTTTACAGTTTACACTTCAAGTGAAAAGTTTGTCAGTTCCATGTTTATTCAAGTTGTTGCATCAGTATGTACAGTGCTGGCTCTAGCCATTTTGGTGCCCTAGGCGAGTTGAAGCGGACCCCTCCCCCCACCCCTGAACTATGTCCCACCCACCACAATTAAAACCCTAAAAACAAGTTTGACAGTGTAAGGTACTATGGTAA